GAACTTTGCACCGCGAGAGCGCGCTGAGCGGCATTTCTCCGCCCCCACGCCGACCGCCCCGGACGCCCCCGCCGCCCGCACCGGGCCTCTCCCGCACCGGCGGGCTCACCTTGCTCGCAACTCCGCCGCCCCGTGCGGGAAGCAGGAAGCCAGCGGAGGGCAGGGCGGGCGGCCGGACGGACTTCGGCGGGGGTGGCGCGGGGCGGGCGCGAGGGGCCGGGGACGCGGGCGCCCCCTAGTGGCGCGCGAGGGCCTCGTCGGGAGGCCCAAAGGCGGCGGCGGCGGCGGCGGCTCTGCCCGCTCCCTTCGGCCCGAGCTCAGCCCATCGACCACGCAGAAGAGGGTGTCCGTCGCGTCCCCGGTGGAGTTCCTGTTCGGATGTGCTCGTCCCTCTCCCGCACCCGCCCTTTTAATCGCGTCTTGGTAATAACGACCTGGAGCCGTGAGGAGCCTTTGGAAGGACTGCTGGCTGCATCTCTGGATGAGTCCCTGTTCTGGGCTCCTAATCAGCAGGTGCAACCCAACCAGCGGGAAAATACTGAAAATCAACCCTGGACCTTATTTTTACCCCTGCACAAGCAAGTTAAGTCCCCTTTCTTTCCTCTATCCTGTGTGTACTCACTGAATGAGCCCAAATTTTTGTATCGTGAGACAAACATTTCCTCTCCACATTCTCCACTCCAGCCTTCCCTGACCAGGAAAGCCAACTCTGGCTGGGTGTGATGGGGGTTGTAGTCTGACACATCTCAAGGAAACCAGCTGGGGGAAGCTAAAAGGCTTTGCTTTTAAACCTCCATTAGCTTGACCTTCGCTTGTGCTTGTTCTTAATCAGTATTGACCCGGACACTCCACTTAGGGGGTGTTCCTGCCCCCTTTCTGCATAGGGTTGGAGATTTGGACAGAACTGAGAACATTTAGGGTGCGACACAGGAATGTTTAGGCTCTCCTGGAGCTTATGCTGTGGTCTTTTCAGTGCCAGATGGATCCCTTTTTATTTCCCTGACTTTTTAGCCCTTCCACCAGATTTTTACCCTGGTTTTTACTTCAGCTTTCTTCCATCAGTACCAGTTTGGGGCACTGCTTTTGCACCAGAATGTGCGATATGCACTTTCGGTAGTTCTAACAGGTGTGACCCCTCCACCAGAACCTCCCGGGGTGCCTGGGGGAAGAAACGGTGAATGCCCCGCACAGAGCAGAAAATGATGGTGGAAACAACACACATTCCCGTGCTCCGGCCACAAAACCGTGGCATTTCCCTCCGCTTTGTGCTCCCTTTCATCTGTTGAAGGAGCTCCGTTTTTCCACTGCTGCCGACTTCACAACAACCTTAGGAGGTGGGCTCATTAGAGGGGACGCCTGAGGCTGAGCGGAGGTTTGTGTTCAGCTCGAAGAGGAAGCCCCCTGAGTCTTGGAACCAACTTCAAATGAGGACCGTTCCGTTGCCCAATTTCTGGCTTGTGGGCCTCTCCCAGAAACATTTATTTGGCTACTGCTAGATAAGCTTTTGGTCTTAGCACTGCGGCTTTTCCTTGTCTCCTGAGTCTTGAATGTTCTAATAATAATAATAAAAAATAATAATGATGTAGTGATCAGCTGCTTCATGCAATCAGTCTTGATGATCCATGCAGTGGGTGCTGGGTGCTCAGCAAAGGACCAGGTTGGAGAAAACCGGGGTCCCTTTTCGTGAAGCCACCTCAAAGATCCCGAAAATGTGCAAATGGACGGGATGAAGAGCTACAGAAATCTTGCAAGCCTGTATGTTGGCCCATTAAAAGGGTAATATACTCCTTGGATTCTGAGATTTTTCTAAAAGCCAAGACTATCTCTTACCTTGTGTTTTTTTATCTTCAACAAGACCAAGATTTTAAAAGAAGCATCCACTAGGGGTCACCTCAACACCCAATCAATCTCTCTTCCCCCTTTCTTCTTGGCCAATTTTGGCCTATTTCTACCTTTATGAAATGGGACCCCCCACCCACTCACCTTTCTCAAAATCGGAGGGCCACTCTGAAGATACAAGAATATTAACATGCGTGCACAGGCAGAACTGTACAAGTTTAATTCTGATTTTATTTTCCCCCCCCAGCGTGGCTATCCAAATATATAGGGTGGCCTTCCCCAATCTGGTGCCCTCCAGATGGGTGGGACTACAACTCCCATCACCCCCAATAGCATGAGCCGGAAGAAACACTCCTGTTGCACCGGTGTTCCAGGAAAAGCATCATAAGAAAAAAAAAAGGGGGGGGGGGTTGTGAGATAATGCAGTAATTTGACAGGCTGGAGGGTTTTTTCTCTTTTAATGCAGGATGCAAGTCCCAGAGACACACAAAACTCTTTGTCAGGCAGCTGTTCCCAGTGAAAAATCGCATCTACAGCTTTAAATGTTCTGTATATTCTTCTCTGGACCTTTTAATCATTTTAATAATTAATTTTAATACAATTTTTAATAATTTTCTTTACCTGGTGCCTTCCACATGTGTCGGACCATAGCACGGCAACTTGCCGAGCCGCACTTATGGCACAAGAGGAAACGGCTGGGTGGGGAGTTGTGGTGGCAGAACGGAAGAGGCTCAACATGACGGGGTGGGTGCTTGCAAAGGTACCTCGAAGAGGAAGGGTGGCAGGAAGCAAAAATATCTTGCCGCCACTGCCGTTCTGCCCCGCTCCGTCTCCCGAGAGCACACCCGCCTGGCCACAAGGCTTCCTATGCTGAGGCTGCATTTTGGCAACAGAACTGACCTCGGAGCGTGTGCAGAATGCCCTCCTCTCATCAGACAGGGAGTGACCACACCTGTGGATGTGGGTGTGGATGGGAATGAGGCTTAGCAGGGATGTGTGTCCTCTTGGACAGAGGGCTGTCCCATGTTCCAGTTGCTGCCCAGTCTAATCCCAGTTTAAAGACACGGAATTGCAAAGAAGCAGGTCCGCTAGACAGTGGACCGAAGGCATCAAGGCCTACAGATTAGCACACGCAAAGTTGGTGAGAACCGCAGTCCTCTTTTCGGGGTGCCGGATTGTCACCTAAGTGGCCACCCTGCCCCCCCCCCCCGCCAGACAAGGCTCATAAGAACATGGGTAGGTCCCTGCTAGATCAGACTGAACACCCATCCAGTCCAGCGCTGCGTTCACACAATGCCTAACCAGCTACCCAAGAGAAACCCACAAGCAGGACCAGAGGCACATGGCCTCCTCTTGCCCAGGCAACCAGTGAACACAGACGGGCTGAAGTAGCTTGTCCCCATGAGGACTAGTAGCATGGATAGGCTGCTCCTCCACGAATGTGTTGAATCCTCTTTTAAAGCCAACCAGATCGGCAGCAAATCCTTGCCTGATGGGCAGAGAGCCAATGAGCAAGCAGCCAGCTCCTCATCATCATTCTGGTCCACAGTGAGAGGCAAGTAGACCAGGAAGTTTCAGTGGGGAAGAGGAAGGGCGAGTCCAAGGTGCTCTCTGTGGGCCTGCTGGGTTATGGGTCCCCAGCAGGTGCCCAGCCAGGCCTAGCTTTCACGCTGGTCTTGGCTGCCCCTTATCTCTCTCTTCAGCCCCCCGGAAAACACGATTAGAGCCTGCGGCTGGGTTTTTCCTGTTCCCCTGCTGATGTTTTGGCAAGACTCTCGCCTGTGCCAGCTAGCTTTGCCCTCCTTTCCCTTAGGGGTGGGGGGCAAGAAGAGGCACCCCTCCTGTTTCAAGGAATGGAGACTCAAGGGGGCTGCAGATGGAGACTAAAGTTGGGGCTTTAGTGGCTGGGCTACAGGTGTTTGTGTTTTTCTCTGCGTGTGCGTGTATGCACACGCATGTGATGCTCACATATGCACTTAAAGGCTTTGCCTTTCAAAATGCCTCAGAAAAATATGAATATAGAAATAGCAATTAAACCCAAATGCAAGACACGCAGGACCAGCAAATGGGCTTTTCGGCAGCCAGTTCGGACTGGAATAAAATATGTGTTCAAATTTGGGTTATTTAAGCCAGTACTGATGAAGCCGCCGGTATCCCCCTGGCTAGGGGTTTTAAAGGCTGAGGTGCCATCCCTGAGAAAGTCCTACCCCAAGAGTGCGTGATGTGCTGCCAAATTGTCCCCGTCTTGTGGGGGCGCATGAATGAAACTCCAAACTGCCTGTCGTGACAACTCCGCTCAGCGACTCCGAGTTCAAGGCTGCCTGGATGGAGTCACCCATCCATCCTGGAACTTCCCTTTTGCCTCCTGACTTCGGCTTTCCCTATCAGGAAGGTTTTCTCCATGTAGCCTTGCCTTCTCATGTTGGACTTCTGCAACGTGCTCTGCGTGGGGCTGCCCTTGAAGACGGTCCGGATACTTCAGATGGTGCAAAACAGAGCAGCCAGGTTGCTGACGGGGACTGGGCATTGTTCTCATATGACCCCAGTCCTCTACCAGCTTCACTGGCTCCCCATCGAAGTCCGGGCTCAATTCAAGGTGCTGGTCATCACCTACAAAGCCCTTAACGGCTTGGGACCTGGATACTTGAAGGGACGCCTGCTTCCGTATTTGCCCTCCCGCCCCTTGAGATCGGCAGCAGAGGCCCTTCTCCGGGGGCTCTCCGTGAAAGATACTAGGAGGGTGAGTACCCGGAGGAGGGCCTTCTCTGCGGTGGCGCCACATCGGTGGAATGCGCTCCCCAGAGAGGTCCGCCTGGCGCCGTCATTATTTGTTTTTCGGTGCCAGGCTAAGACCTTTTTATTCAAACAATATTTTAATAATGTTTAATATTAACTATAGATTTTAATTTGCAGCCGGAATGAATTGGGTTTAGTTTGTAGAATCTGTATTTTTGTATTATATTTGTTTATTTATGTAAGCCGTCCCGCGGCGTTAAGCGATGGGATGGCATACAAAAAACTCTAAATAAATAAAATAAAATAAAAAAATGTGCTCAAAGCAGGACTGCCTCAGTTCGCTTCTAGGGAAACCACTGGCTTGATTTGATCCCGGACCCCCTTGTGAGTCTTTCTGTCTGTCCAGGGTATGTCCTTCTGTCTCCCCCAGCACCGGGTTTTCATCAGCTCTTGGGGGTGGGCCAGGAAACAGGGTTTCGAATGCTGATCCACATGCCTAGATTTGGGTCCTTCAAGCCACAGGGTTCCAAAACAATTCAGAGCTTTCCGGTCCAAATCTAGCACTCTGAATCGAGTTTGGAAAGCAACCGGCACAGAATGCGA